TAAGTTTAGGGAAGCTGTGATTTGTGTAAGGGAAAGGGAGGAAAAAACCCTCTTGTGGGAGTGGGAAAAGAGCCAGTTTGAGGTGGGGGAATTTCCCGTGAGGCAGTGGGAAAAAAAAAGGGGGTAAGGAAACCCGGGATTGTTTGGGATAAAGATAAAAATTTTAAAAAAGCAGGGGGGGATATAGTTTTGGAGGGGGTTGGTGCAAAAATTTAATAAATGATGGAAGAGGGTAAGGTACCTAGGATTGGCAGAGACATGCATAGTTCCTTTGTTTTAAAGAAAAGGGGGTTAAAAGGGTGAAAAAATTATAGGGGATAAGTCTGTTGATGTACCGGGTAAAGTTTTGGGAAAAAGTTATAATTGAAAGAATTAAGATTTAAGACGGAGAATAGGATAGAAAGATGAAAAAGGGGGCCCTTTAGGAAAGGTAGGGGGGTGTGGGACCAGGTTTGTTTACAGTGAAACATAAAAGTGAACAGTTTTTTGGGAAAAGGGCCCTAAAGAGGTCTTTGGGGCATTTAGGGTTTTGGAAAAGGGGGCGATGACAGGGGGGTTTAGGGGGGCAATGTGGCAGATGTTGAAAAAGTGTATGGTGTAGGGGGTAGGTTACTAAAAGCAGTGAAGAGTTTTTACGAGGATATTGAGGCTAAAGTTAGAGTATGTGGGAAAAGGGGGAAAATTTTTTCCCAGTAAAATGGGCCCTTGAAAAGGGATGTGTAAAGTCACCTTGGTTGTTTAAATATATTTATAGAGGGGGTTTGTAAGAAATAAATGCGGGGGTCTTGGCAAGAGGGTGGAGTTAAAAGAAAGAATAACACAAAGTGGGAGTTGTCACAGCGCCCCTTTGCTGATGACACTGTCCCTTTGGGAGTTTCTAAAGAGAAGCTGCAGAGATTGGTGGATAAATTTTGGTGGGGGGGGCAAAAGAAAAAAAATTAAAGGTAAATACGGGAAAGATAAGGTTAGGGAGGATAACAAAAAGATTGGGTGTTTAAAGGTTGAAATAAAAGATTGGAGGGAGAGAGTATGGAGGGGGTTTGAAGTTTTTCAGATTTTTTTGGGAGTGGACGTGCCCCCCCCCCCCAAGCGGAGGGGTCTATGAAAAAAGAGGTGAATCATAGAATTGATGGGGGGAAAAAGAGTGAGTGGTGCACTTAGGAGTTGTGGAGACAAAAAAACTTGTCCTTGGGGCAAAGAGGGGAATGTTGAGAGTATGGGTTTTACCAACGCTCTTAAATGGGTTTTGAAGCGGGGGTTGATAAAATGTTGCGCGAGGAAAGGGCTGGGCAGGGGAAAGAGGGTCTGTCTGGGGGAAATGTGTGGTGGGAATAAAAAGCGGGAAAATTTCCGTATTTGGGAAAGGGTTTAGGGGGAGGTGGGGGAATTCCCAAAAACTGTTGCCCAGGGGGCTGAGGAAGGGTTGTTGAGGGGGTTTTGGGAAACATGTAAAAGGAGAATGGGGGCGAACGGAATAAACTTCGAGTGTTCAGTTTTGTAGTGAAAGAAGGGGGGGTGGGGGTCGGCCTAGGGGGTTTTGGAGGGAGGGGGTAAAGGAGGTTTTGTTGCGGGGGGCTTGGACTTCCAGCAGGCATGCGTGAGCGTTTTTTGATGGGAGTGAAGGGAAAGAAAAAAGGGTTTTTAAAATTCTTGCGTGCTTTTGGGGAGTGTGAGCAAAGAACATTTATAAAGGGGAAATTCGGGGGAAACCGGCGGGCCGGACTGAGTCCGGGAGATGGGAATCCATCCCTGCACCCCTTAAGGGGGGGTTTTAAAAGGTTGCATTTTAAAAAACTGTATTTGTAAAGCACCCTTCGGCAACAGTGATGGAGTAAATTTGATTTAAAAGTTTTCTTTTTGGGGCCACCCCCCTTTGGGTGGAATGGGCCATTGTGATAAAAAAAAAAAAAAAAAAAAAAAAAAAATTAAACCCCGTCCCAAGACCCCCAAAAATTAAAAAAAAAAATTTTTTTACCACATGAAATATTTTTTTTCCCCACACACAAAGAGAAGGATACATGCACAAAAATAGAGTAGTACATGCACAGTATATATTGTGCATGACTAGTCTACAAAATGAAGACTAAATACACTTACCTTTATTTAAGATGCGCAATGACGATGAGACACTGTGTCCCCGGGAGTGCCTTTTCCTACTGAGTACTGTAGGTTTTCCCGTTTGGGGATTTTCTTCCAGAACAGGCCTTATCCCCACTGTGTATGCCCCCTACGATTCTTAAATCTCTCAAACCAACCTTGCCGGCTTTAAAATTTACCAATATGGCAATAGTTCCAGGCATTTTTTTCCCCGTTCACCTGGGGGGGTTTTGTCACTTGGTGGGTTTTTCATCCTGGGAGAAAAAATTAAGGACCCCAATGGGAAAAGTTAACAAACTTCGATGACACTGGGCTTTTTTTGGGGTTTTCCTGGGTGGCAAATCCCCCCGGGGTTAATTGTTTCTTGGATTCTAAAAAGCCACATCAACAAAGGTTTCTACAGCAAACAGCAGCCCGCTGACGGTGGTACAGCAGCAACAGACGATCACAGCAGCAGCAGACATGCTACAGCAAACAACAGACAAAGTTACAGCAAACGCAGACGTTTACAGCAGCCCGCAAGGAGCTGACGGGGGGTACAGCAGCAAAAAGACGAAGCTACAGCAGCCAAAAGATGAAGTTACAGCAGCAGCAACGTGCTACAGCAGCAGCAGCAGCTGACGGTGGTACAGCCAAAAAAAGACGAGCTACAGGGGCAAAAAGACGATGCTACAGCAGCAACAGGCGATGTTACAGCAGCAGCAGACATGCTACAGCAGCAGCAGCAGAGCTGACGGTGGTACAGCAAACAAAAGACGACGCCCACGCAGCAACAGAAAGTTACAGCAGCAGCAGACGAACTACAGCAGCAGCAGCGCTGAAGTGCAGCAGCCGCAGCAGCTGACAGTGCAGCAGCAGCAGCAGCTGTACCACCAATAGTAAACCCATGGTTGATTGGGGTTTATTTACAAACCCGGGCCCGCTCGGAGACACGCACTCCACTTTATACTTATCAATGATCTTTTTCTTCATTCTAAATTTTAATTCTCACCCCTTTTTGGGTGTAGGGTTGGGACTAGAAGCTTTCTTGGGGGCCCTGGTCACTTATTTTCCAGAAAAAAGCACCCAAAAAAACTGTTTAAAAAAACGAAATAAATTCCCTTGTATGCTTGGATGTTTCCCCGGAGGGCTTTTGGGAAAAAAATGCCCCCGGCGGAACAAAGTTAGCGTGGTCAGGCCGACAAATTTGGGCGCTTTTCGGACGAAAATCGGGGCGGGTTTTTAAACGGTTTTTTGAGGCAAAATTTTTGGGCGATTTTAAAACAAGGGTATGCGGATTAATCGCTATTTATTGGGCCTCGGTATGCGGGGGTCCCCCCTGTATCTCTGATATTGTTTTTTTAAACCCTTTTGGGTCCGTCCCCTAAAATTTCGGGGGTTTACGTTCAGGGTCCAAACCGTTGATCTACTCACTCCTTTATTTAACTGTGAGGGTAAATTTGGGCCTAATATGAGGGGAAATTTAAACTATGTGATATGTGGGGCACCAAAATAAAACCCAAAACCTGCAAACACACAGTGTATAAAGGAGAGGGAAAAACTGAGACAATGATTTTTTAATAAACAGTTTACTTTGCAGTGTTTTTTCGTAGTTTTTTTTTAGTTGTAAATTTTGGGTTTCTTGGTCTCATTTTTAAGAATGGAAAATATATTACGAAATAGAGATTTATTTTTTATTTGGGTTTTTTTTCGGGGAAAAGGCTTGAAACTGAGCCCAAAGTAGCGGGAAAAGTTAAATTTTTTTTGATTTTCAAAAAGGGAAACAAATGACCTTTACACATCTAAATTTCACGCCAGCGGTGGGTCTAAAATACATTCACAAAAGTGATGATGAATTTATACAATTATTAAAAATTTTGGATTACAGTTAAATGTTCTATTTTTGGGGTTTTAATAAAAATTCATTATGTGAATAAAAAATCAAAATGGAATTCATTTGTAAAGGGCCCCAAAAAATAAAATAATGAGCAAAGGGAAAAGTTAGTTTGTGCCAGGGAATGCCTGCATTATTTATTTGGGCCATTTTTTTGAAATTTAATATTTTTTAATTGTTGGGTTTAAAATTTTTCCAAATTCCAATTTCCCATCACTTTTTTTTGTAGTTGAAAAGTTGACTGGGGGATTTCTTGTGCTCAATCGGTAAAATAGAAAATAGTGAAATAGCTAAGAATTTAGTCGACTGGAATAATGTAATTGGGCCCAAAATCGGGGTCAAAATCGGCAAAAAACGCCGGGTTTTTAAAAATCACTGACAAGTTTAAAAATTTTCCCCGACATAATTTTATCAATTTTTCCCTCAAATTTCGTGGGTTTTTTTTTTTTTACCCCTTTAGAAAAAAGGGCCCTGAAAGGGTTTTAAAGTCACATTTTTACCCTTTATAACTTTTTTGGATAAATTTTTTAAAAAGTTTATACAGCAGTGTCTGATATTGTAAAAAAAAGAAAGAAGAAAACAGGGTCACTATACATTATTTAGGTATGCATCTGGTCCCGGGGAGCCTGTCATAAAATCCGAGCCGTCGGGTTTAAAAGATACGTCGCTAATGAGGAAAATGCTGTATTTTAAAGATTGTAACTACCGTGGTTTGTAAGTACCCAAAATTTGGGTTTAAGTGCCAGTGTCTTATGTCAGTGCTTACTATACAATAATTTCCTGGTAGACTTTAAGTAAGTATAGTAGGTAGATTTATTAGTACACATGAAGAAAATAAGTTCTTATCTTACCTAACCCTCAGTTTGGAAAGAACACTTTTAGATGATATTTTGGTCTCTTCTGGACCATCATTAAGTCAAGACTAAGAGAGAGAGGCAAGAAAGGAGAAAAGTTAAGTGAGGATAATTAATATTTGTGAGACAAATTATAATTTTAAGCACTGATGTTAATTAAAATTTTTTTTTTTCAGATGATCTTTGCAGTTTCTTTAGTTGTACCTGAACACAATCCAAAATGTCAAATTTCATCTATCGTTTATCAAGAAAAAAATTCGTTACTTTTGAGGACACAGAACTGCCTAGAGTTTTGACTGCCCTCGACCTAACATTCCTTGGTATTGGCTCAACTATTGGGGTTGGCATTTATGTTCTTGCAGGTCAGGTTGCAAGAGAAACAGCAGGACCAGCAGTCATAATATCATTCCTCATTGCTGCAATAGCCTCAGTCTTTGCTGGTAAGGTTTTGTTGTTCATTGTTAGATTATGTAAGACAGTATCCATCATTTTATTAAATTTTTATAGTTTATAAAAACTTAATGAGAAAATACAGTACAGCCTCTCCTTATTTAACCCTTTAACTGTCCAAACGTAGATCTACGTTCCACAAATAACCTGCACATAAAAGAGAGAAGCCATACCCCCGGCCGGGATTGAACCGCGGTCATAGTCTCAAAACTTCAGCCCGTCGCGTTAGCCACTAGACCAGCTAGCCACATAAGATTCATCCAACTAGGTATATTTCTACACCATAGGAAGGTTAGCACAGGCACCACTGTGACTACAAATGCAAGTTTTTACAGACGAATCTCCAGCTAGCGTGGCCGTGACGAACTCTTACCCCGGGCGGGGGTATGGTTTTTTTTGGCAATCGGTGCCATTGTTTCTTGAGTGAAAAAGGGGTGAACTTAGGCACGTTTGGTCCGACCTGGAATTTTATTAAGCACCGGTTTGGGGGGATGGGTTTCCAATGGCCAAGACGTCGGTTTAAGCTTTTCCCCACTTTCCATTCTTTTAAATTGTGCGGGTTAATTTTTATGTTCCAGTTACGGTAATTGTGCCTTTTTTTTTTTTTGTACTATTAACATCTAGATAAAATGAAAAGTATTACGTTTTTTAAAAAACATAAAAAATGTTAAAAATTATGTTAGATCTACTTCAAGAGCCCGTCATAAGCCAAGTTTTTAAAAACGTTATGTCGTAGTAAAGGGTTAACAAGTTCCATTTAAACCCATTTAAAGTTTTTTATCCTAAGGAGGGTGTTTAATGGTTAGTTTTGTAACCCTTTTGTATTAATTATCCCACTTTTGGGAAATTTATAAATTTTTTTTTTAATGTTGTAAAACAGTGTGAAATTATATTGGGTAAATACGAAATAAAAGAAAAAAAAACTTAATATACAATTTTGGTATCAATTTTGGTTATAAAGCCCGACAAATTTCCAAAAAAGCCCTTAGTTAACGGTTTTATGTAAAAAGCTATGTGAAAAAAAGGCTGTTATTTATTTTTATTATAAATTTTTCCTTTAAAATTTATATTTGAAGGAGGGGTTTAAGTTTGGATTCTTAGGTTTTAAAAAAAACCTGATATGAAGTGGTGCATTCGGGATTTGTTAAAAAGTAAATTGATATGAAGTTTTTTTCCCTTTTTTTCAAGTTTTGACTGCCTTGTGGAAAGCTATGAATAAATTTTGGGTGTTACTAAATAATGAAAGTTTAAATCCCAACCCCACGGGGTCCCAACAATTGAAATTTTTGTTTGCTTCTTTTTTTAAACACACTGGCGTATCCCTCTGAGGCAGGGTGACCTAAAAAGAAGAAACAAAAGTTTTTCTTGTTAAATTTAGTAATTTATACAGGAGAAGGGGTTACTAACGTCTTCCAGCATTGTAGTCTCCTTTATGACATGCATGGCTTACGGAGGAATTCCTGTGCTGTAAACAAATTTTTGTCCTCACTTCCTCGTTTAGTGCATTTGATTTGCTTATTACTCCTCCACAAAAGAAGGGACATAATGGAGTCTCTGACTCGATTATGTCCGCTGTTTTGGTCTGGCCCTTTCAAATAGTCCAGCTTTATCATCTTTGTTAATATAGTACCTTGAAGTTAGTGCCAGATTTTGACATATTGCAACCCTACACCGTGTTAATCCTAAGTGGTCTCATATGATAATACTTTAGGTTATTACAGTGCCTTTCCTAAGTAAACAAGGTACATATATATATATTATACTGATTATCCAGCACCTTCAGGATTGAGGAAGGGAAGGTGTGCCAGAATTTTCACCAACACCAGATAATCACAATTTTTTTCCTTGTATCAAGGATCTACCAATAACATCAGATAATGTTTGAAGCTGAGTAACTGATCACCAGATTATTGATGATTTATTGTCTTTCCCATATCTTCTTTGATCAACATGAACAGACTTCATACTGAATTTTTTCCCCTCGCTTAAGAGGCCACTTTGAGGCCCTACATTATAGCCTATTTAGCTCGTACCTAAATCTGGCAACACTCTAAGGTATTGCACTGTATATACAGTGGACCCCAGGCTTACGATATTATTTCATTCCAGAAGTATGTTCAGGTGCCATTACTGAACAAATTTGTTCCCATAAGGAGTATTGTGAATTAGATTAGTCCATTTCAGACCCCCAAACATACACGTACAAACGCACTTACATAAATACACTTAAATAATTGGTCGCATTGGGAGCTGATCATAAAGCGGGGGTCCACTGTATTTTGCCGTGATGATAATACCCTATGTCTTTGTTTGATGTGTATCTCCTATACCTATACAGCCTCTCATCACTTAATGACAAAGTTCCGTTCCTAAGACCACATCACTAAATGAATTTATCGCTAAGTGAGGAGCATACTATAATGGTAGTGGGTTTGTGTCAACCATCTTTGATATTGTTTTAATGTCACCTTTGTATCATTTATAACATTTCTGGTATATTTTTAAATGTTTATACAGTAGTGTGCTGTATATTGTAATAAACAGAATAGAGGAAATGAGTTCTAATACATTATTTATGTATGTGTACTGGTCAGAGAGCCCGTTGTAAGTCTGAGGCGTTGGTAAATGAGTACGTCGCTAATTGAGGAGAGGCTATATTTGCTTATTGAGTGAACCTTGCACCACTCGTCTATTTGTATCTAGAGCAGTAGAACTTATACATGGGGCCTACCATCTTCTATAATAAACTTTTCATTTTGATTTTTAAGCTTTAAATAATTCTTCGATTTCATTCCAGCTCTCACCCATTTTGTTTGCGAAGAGATACAGTACTTCCTAAAGCCCCTTCTGCAGTTCTTATAAATATGGGTTCTTTTGCAATATGCCCATTTTATCACATAAGCAAGTATCCACTGGTCAACCCTTTCACTGTCAAAACCCCTGCTCACAAACTTGCTCTTAGTGTCGAAGAATTTAAAAAAAAAATTATTTTTTCTTTTGAAATGATAGAGAATTTTTTCCCATTGGTAATGACACCAAAAGTGTGAAATATGATGGAAAACTTATGAAATTTCGCTCTCACGAAGTTAGCAGTCTTGGTGATATTTACGCATCGCTGATTTTGCCCTATTTTCGGCCAATTCCATTAGTCCAGTCAACCAAACTCATAGCTATTTTGCTAGAACTCCTACTTTTCTATCTATTGAGTACAAGAAACCACCCATTTACTGATTTCAACTACCTAATAAAATGATAAGAAATTGGTAATTTGGCCAATTTCATACACAATTCAAGTAAGGCCAATTTAAAAATAGGGGCCAGAATAACATTTTCTCTGTTCATTAGTCACATCTCCAGGCCCCTCTTATATTATGCTTGCTTTCCATTTTGAATTTTTTATTCACACAAAAAATAGAAGACTTACTGTTATGCAGACTACTGCATTATTGTAAAAATGGTATAAATAATATCAGCACATTTGTGAAAGCAGATTGGACCCACTAGTTGATGTGTATTGGACGTGTGGCGTGATTTGTTTACTCTTGAACATCGGCAAAAATCGAACATTTCCGCTAATTTGAGCTCAATTTCAAGGTACTTTTAGTCCAAAAACCATTCAAAATCATCTCTATTTCTGTAACATATCTTCCATTCTATCAAATGAGACAAGAGAACGAGAATACAACCATAAATGCTATACAAAAATACACTGCAAAGTCGGTGTTTTAAACCAAAAACACAGTTTTCTTTTCTCATTATGCACTGCGTGCTTCAGGATTTTTTTTTATACTGCACACACTGACCACTCAAACCCATTCTCTCATATGTAGGCCTACCAGCTTTCTAATGCAATACTGGAAGCCGCTAGAATTTTGACGTAATATTGCGGCACCAACACTGGCTTACAAGCCATAATACTATGGCACCGACAACGAAAGAGTTAAAAGGTGCTGTAGCTCAACCCCAACAAAAACAATTAGTCTGTATTCAGATAGTTGAGTACATTTAGTATTTGTATATTTTTCCAGGTCTATGTTATGCAGAGTTTGGAGCTCGTGTGCCCAAAGCAGGTTCAGCGTATGTCTACACTTATGTCTGCATAGGAGAATTTATTGCTTTTATCATTGGATGGAACTTAATCTTGGAATATGCGATCGGTAAGTGGAAAATACCAGTGCCACATTCTGGTGTCCCTTAGTTTTTGCATTAGAATTGTTCCAGATCAGTGGCAGTTGTGGTAAGCTTAATCATGAACATTTATTGCCAAATAATGAGAATTTCCAATTCATTTTGCTAACTGCACATAAGGTGAGTGTATGTCACATATGGAATTACATGTACTGATAGAAATAAGAGATTACAAAAATGTGAATTTATGAATGAGGGAAACCTGTGCTCTATACTGCTGTAGAGTTGTACTCAGTCCTAGTCATTTCTTATTCTCTGTGTATTGTATATTTTAGTGATCTTGTACAGTACTATATAATGTTGACCAATTTTTATTACTTTGAACTACTGAGGTAATCATATCATGTTTTAAATAATAATGCTATGAAAAGGGAAAATGTTTTTCTTATTGTCAGAATTGATAATTCATTCATTCAATCATTCTTCTATTCTGCAGCTGTTACCCATATAAGATAATATTAGAATATTTTGCAGTGTGTGATTTACTTTCTGGAATACTGTAACTGATTTATCTAATATTTTTTAGGCACAGCAAGTGTTGCTTCTGGATATAGTGGGTATGTTGATGAGTTAGCAAACAAATCGATGTCCCAGGCATTGGCTAAGGCAATGCCCATCGATGTCTCATTTCTCTCTACTTATCCTGACTTCTTGGCATTTGGCCTGTCATTTGTATTGGCTCGTAAGTTTTTCAAACTTTTGTCCAGTTGGTTATTGTATTCAGTTTCTTTTATCACACAGGCCATCTCCCACTAATGTGGGATGATCAAAACAGGTACATTCACCAGCACACATAACATTCAATGACCCTCTGTAGTGCAACATTCCCACTCCTCCTTCTAAGTGCAGGCATTATACTTCCCACCTTCAGGATTCAAGTCCATCTAACCAGTTTCCTTGAAGCTTTTCATAAATGCTACCTTCCTCACACTCCAACAGATTATCAGATCCTAAAACACTACTTGTCTGCACTCACCCTGATCTAATATGCTCTCACACATCTGCTGGATGCCTGATCCATTACTACAAGATACTTAAAATCTTCACACATCTCCCTCCAACTTTTCAGGGTTGACCCCTACCCCTTTTTCATTTCACCTCAGATTTATACACCCTCAGAGTCACCCTATTCTCCATTCTCTAAATTCCCAAACCTCTCAACAGTCTATCCTTGGTCAGCTGAATAATACATTTTGTAATCCCACACAGTCTTCTAGTTCCTGTGCTTTGCATTCTTAGCATAATATTCACGCTTTGCTCAGAAATAGAACATCTTTACTGCCTCCAGCTTCCTCCTTGCCACAAAGTTTAAAGCCCATGCCTTACACACATAACATGGTTAGTAGCACTATACTTTAGTACATTCCTCTTTTTGCTTCCATAGATGAACTTTCTTTCCATTGGTGTCTCAACACTACCTACCTTTTTTTTCCCCTTCAGCTATTCTAAGGTTCACTTCACCCTTTGTAGAGCCATGTGCCGACACTCACTCCCAGGTATATAAATACACTCGCTCCCAGGTATATAAATACACTCGCTCCCTCCATACCTTTTCTCTTCCAGTCTGATATCCAATTTTTTCATAACCAATTTTTCATTGCCTGAATATTTTGTTACTCTCATTGCTTAGCTCTCTTCTGTATTTACATTTAATTTCCTTCTTTATTACCCTTCCAAATTCCTTCCCCAACCTTTGCAACTTCTATTCAGAATCTTCCTAAAGTATTATGTCACTGGCAAAGAGAAACTGCAGCAACTCTCGCTTTGTATCAAATTCCTCATCATTTAATCCACCCCTCTTGAACTCTCTCATTAACTTTTTTTGCAACCCCATCTCTATGTAAGGGCTACATTTAATGGAAAATAGTCCTCTTCTACATACCCTAGCATGAGCCTCACTCATGCAAAAGTAAAATAAATACACAGTACATACAGTCCATACTGTGGGCAGAGCTTGAATTCGGGGTTAGAGAGTTGTAAAACTCCAGAACGACATGTTAGCCACTAGGCCAGCTGGCTACAATAAGATTCATTCAACTAGGTATATTTATACACCGTACCTACCCGCGGTATGGTTCATTTGCAATTGTGTCATTACAATTTCGTGAGTCAGTACGTGCATACAGTACTCTAAATATGGCGCCAGTCGCCCTTCCCATACACAGTTATTGTGTAGAAAAGAGGAAAAGACACCGAATATAATGAATAGTGGCTCAGTTGAAAACCAGTGAAAACTTGAAACACTGTAAAAAGGGCGCCGAATAAGCAGGGTTCTCCTGTGATTTGAGACAAAGTCCATTCAGTCTTTGAATAGGATGAATCCACAATGCTGAGCAAATGCCAAGTACATTTGTTACTTGATATTCAAAAGTAAATATTTTACTAAAGTGACCATTTCCCATGTTGGTAGGGTGACCCAAAGAAGAAAACACATTCACAGTTTCTCATTCAATGGTTCTCTTTACAGAAGTGAGTGTGGACATCACACTTCAAATGACCCTCTTCACTGTAACATCCCAACCCATCCTGTATAGTCTACTTCACTTTACCTCCCACCTCCAGGATTCAAGTCTGGCTAACCAATTTCCTTGATTTCCTTCTTAAATGTTGCCTTACTTCTCCAACAGCACACCATATTTCAAAGCCATTAGTTTCCTCTAGGCCCACTGAAGTTCTGTACAATAAATATTTTTGTATAACTGGAAACACTATGGTAATGTCCATTAATGATAATAATAATGATAGTAATAATAATGATACAGAAGTAATAATAATAATGGTGAGGATGATATTACTACAGCATTGGAACATTATAGAATGATTTTCTTGCTTCTTTACAGTTGCCTTGTCACTGGGTGTTAAGAGCTCGTCACGAATGAATAACGTCTTTACCAGCATCAATTTGTTTGTCATCGTTTTTGTCATCATTGCCGCTGGAACGCAAGGTTTGTATGCTCCTGTGGGAGTGTTGCCGGGGAGTGGCTGGAAAAATATTACACCAGTGTATGATGGAAGTAATATCACTTTTTGCTTTATTATTTAACGTATTTTTGGTAAAATAAAAAGTGGTTTATAAATCAGTTAGTTCTCAATTGGAAATTAAAAATGGGGCCAAATATTAAATTCTTTCTTTCTTTCAACACACCGGCCGTATCCCACCGAGGCGGGGTGGCCCAAAAGGAAAAACGAAAGTTTCTCCTTTTAAATTTAGTAATATATACAGGAGAAGAGGTTACTAGCCCCTTGCTCCCGGCATTTTAGTCGCCTCTTACAACACGCATGGCTTACGGAGGAAGAATTCTGTTCCACTTCCCCATGGAGATAAGAGGAAATAAACAAGAATAAGAACTAGAAAGAAAATAGAAGAAAACCCAGAGGGGTGTGTATATATGTGCTTGTACATGTATGTGTAGTGTGACCTAAGTGTAAGTAGAAGTAGGGAAGACGTACCTGAAATCTTGCATGTTCATGAGACAGAAAAAAGGACACCAGCAATCCTACCATCATGTAAAACAATTACAGGCTTTCGTTTTACACTCACTTGGCAGGACGGTAGTACCTCCCTGGGCGGTTGCTGTCTACCAACCTACTACCTATAAAATATTAAATGGCTTTTATTAAAATTTCAGTGGCTGAAAGTCCTATGTACTATACATATATTTCTCAAAAATTTCTTTACAGTGAGTGGTGCTTTAGGTACTTGGAGTTTTTTATGTAATTATAAAGGAAAATAACTCTGAAAGTTTCAATTAGAAAAATGTAATTAATTGTCCTCTCTTATTCACCTTTTCTTTCATTCCTTTTTGTGCCACTTGCTTTCTCTTCCACAGCTTCCTTTTCTTTCCTGCTTCCCTTTCTCCCACCTTTCTTTCCTGCTTCCCTTTCTCTCACCTCTCTCTCCTCCTTCCCTTTCTCCCACCTCTCTCTCCCACTTCCCTTTCTCCCACTTCTCTCTTCTGCTTTCCTTTTTCTCCTGCTTCTCTCTCTCTTGCTTCTCTCTCTCCCCTGCTTCTCTCCTGCTTCTCTCTCACCTCTTCTTGAATGAACACAATAGATTTATTTCCTCTTTATTTTTGGGTCAACCTACTTCATAGAGAGATAGCTTGTGTGTTTAAAAAATTAGCTTACTGTACACCTGTGAATTTTTTCACTGCTGTACTGCACTTTATTAATTCTAAGGAAGTCATATTGGCAATACTCTTGAGTAACCTGAGCTCTTGGCTCTTTGCTTTATTTATGGAGAAGCTCTTAATCCAAAATGATTATATAGGTTTGATTCCAGGAATGGGAGGGTATATCCAATAACTTGCATCCTGAGCCCTTCACCAGCGTTAAGGTCTACTTTTTTTTTTATCACAGGTAGTTTCTATTAAACTAGATGAGCTAAAATTACTTGCAAGTGTAGATAATATAGATATTATTGGTATAACAGAGACCTGGTTCAACCTGAAAGATAGAGAAATGTCTTCTGAATGCAACATACAGGGTTATAAACTATTCCACACTGATAGGGTCAACAGGAAGGGTGGTGGTGTGGCAATGTATGTCAGAGAAAATTTAAATTGTTGTCTTAGACATGATATAAGATTAGAAACATCGAACACAGAATCGGTTTGGCTACAGTTTCTCGAGGGACGTGACAAATTAATTTTGGGTGTGATTTATAGGCTCCCAAACCTTGGTAGGGAGTGCAATAAGCTATTATGGGACGAAATTCATAAGGCATCTAGATATGAAAATGTTGTGATAATGGGAGATTTTAACTTTAGACAAATTGATTGGAACAGTATGACAGGAAATCTTGAGTCTAGAGACTTTCTTGATACGGTTCAGGATTGCTTTTTAGAACAGGTCATGACAGAACCAGCTAGAGGTAACAAATCTGATTGACTTGGTTCTTGCCAACAAAGATTCACTAATTAATAATCTTGAGGTTAATGATGAGCTAGGGAAAGTGATCACAAATCACTTAGTTTCAATATATCATGGAATTACCCAGATAACTGCAATCAAATCACTGTCCTAGATTTTCGCTTGGCCGACTTCATGGGACTGAAAAATTACTTGGGTGGGCTAAATTGGGATGTCCTGACTATAGGTCAGGTAGGTGATCTTGGATGCCAATATGACGTTTTTCAGAGCATAGTTCTAGCTGCCCAGACAACTTTTGTTCCGAGTAGGGAAATTAGATCTAACAAAAATGATCCCAAATGGATGAACAATAGATTAAAACATCTCATTGGTCAAAAGAGAGGCATATATAGGCGTATCAAAAGAGGGGATGGGCAGTTAAGAAATCAATATATTCAATTAAAGAGAGAAATAAAGAAAGGAATAAGAAAAGCAAAAAGGGATTATGAGGCTAAGGTCACAAGGGACTCAAAGACTAACCCAAAAGGGTTCTTTCAGGTATACAGAAGTAAGATTAGGGACAAGATTGGTCCACTTAAGAGTAACTTTGGTCAGATCACTGACAGTGATAAGGATATGTGTGAAATCCTAAATACCTACTTCCTCTCAGTTTTCACCCAGGAAAATACTAGCGATATTCCTGAAATAATAGATTACGTAAAACAGGATGATAATAAACTATGTACGATTGCGATAACTAGTGACATGGTCCTCAGACAAATAGAGAAACTAAAACCTAACAAATCCCCAGGTCCTGATGAACTGTTTGCAAGGGTGTTAAAGAAATGTAAAGAGGAACTTAGCATACCTTTGGCTAATCTTTTTAACATATCACTACAAACTGGCATAGTGCCTGATAAGTGGAAAATGACAAATGTAATACCTATTTACAAGGCAGGTGACAGGTCCTTGGCTTCGAACTATAGACCAATAAGCCTTACTTCCATAGTGGGAAAATTTATGGAATCAATAATTGCCGAAGCAATTCGTAGCCATCTTGACAGGCACAGATTGATTAATGATTCTCAACACAGTTTTACAAAGGGGTGTTCCTGTCTTATGAATTTACTAACTTTTTTCACTAAGGTGTTTGAGGAGATAGATCATGGTAATGAATATGATATTGTGTATATGGATTTCAGTAAGGCTTTCGATAGAGTTCCACACCAGAGGCTATTGAGGAAACTTAGGGCACACGGAATAGGAGGAGAAATTTTTTCCTGGGTAGAGGCATGGCTGACAAATAGACAGCAGAGAGTTTGCATAAATGGGGAGAAATCCGAATGGGGTCACGTCACAAGCGGTGATCCTCAGGGATCAGTGTTGGGCCCACTGTTGTTCACAATTTACATAAACGACATAGATGAGGGAATAAATAGCGACATAAGCAAATTTACTGATGACACCAAAATAGGCCGTCCAATTCATTCTAATGAGGACATTAAAGCACTCCAGGATGATTTGAATAGACTGATGCAATGGTCGGAGAAGTGGCAGATGCAGTTTAATATTGACAAATGCAAAGTTCTAAATGTTGGACAGTTAAATAACCATGCCACATATAAACTAAATAATGTAGATCTTAATACTACCGATTGCAAAAAGGATTTAGGAGTTCTGGTTAGCAGTAACCTAAAACCAAGACAACAGTGCATTAGTGTTTGCAATAAAGCTAACAGAATTCTTGGCTTCATATCTAGAAGTATAAATAATAGAAGTCCTCAGGTTGTTCTTCAACTCTATATATCCTTGGTTAGGCCTGATTTAGACTATGCTGCTCAGTTCTGGTCACCGTATTACAGAATGGATATAAATGCTCTGGAAAACGTACAAAGGAGGATGACAAAGATGATCCCATGTATCAGAAATCTTCCCTATGAGGATAGACTGAGGGCCCTGAATCTGCACTCTCTCGAAAGGCGTAGAATTAGGGGGGATATGATCGAGGTGTATAAATGGAAAACAGGAATAAATAAAGGGGATGTAAATAGTGTGATGAAAATTTCCAGCCAAGACAGGACTCGCAGCAATGGTTTCAAGTTGGAAAAATTCAGATTCAGGAAGGATATAGGAAAGCACTGGTTTGGTAATAGAGTTGTGGATGAGTGGAATAAGTTCCCGAGTACAGTTATTGAGGCTAAAACGTTGTGTAGTTTTAAAAATAGGTTAGATAAATACATGAGTGGGTGTGGGTGGGTGTGAGTTGGACCTGACTAGCTTGTGCTGCTGGGTCTGGTATAGTGCTCCATCCTTGTGTGGGGATGACCAGACTGGGTGGGTCATTGGGATAATCCGGGGGGTGGGTCATTGGTCTAATCCGGGGGGGGGGGGACCATGGACCTGCTCCGCATGGGTCAGTAGGCCTGTTGCAGTGTTCCTTCTTACTTATGTTCTTATGTTATTAACTCTGTTCTGTAACTTATGAAAGTTATTGATAAACCTGAAGTGTTTTAGTAAGTACAGTGGAACCTTGGTGTTCGAACTTAATTGGTTCCTAGATGTTTGAAACAAAATTTCTCTGGCTTTAATTATCAGCCTTACACTGAAGGATGTTGAAATGACTCCTCCAAAAGTCTCTGAGAGTTAGGTCAGGTCAGAGGTCACTTCCAAGTAATTTTGAAGCAGGGCTTTCCTATAAAAAATTTTTTACACCTGAATTTTAAACAAGCTGGTGTGTTTGGACTCCAGGAGAACATTCAAAGACAGGTCCATTTTCTCTGAACAAAATTGTTTGGACTCCGGTTTGTTCGAGGTCCTAAACGTTCAAACACTGAGGTTCCACTGTATATTTATGAACTACTTGGTATGTACCTGAAATATGTTTGTAATATTTACAGCAAGTGTTGAGAATTGGGCTATACCTGAAATAGACCTGTATGAGAATGGAACATGCACAGTACCTCTTCCACAATCGATGGATAGTTGGGGTGTTGGAGGATTTGCCCCCTATGGCTTCAGTGGCATTATGCAGGGGGCAGCCACATGTTTCTTTGGCTTTGTTGGCTTCGACTGTGTTGCCACAACTGGTATGTTACTAAATTATATCGAGTACCACACTAGGCTCGTATCATTGTTGACAAAGTGATAAAAACATGAGTTTCTTAAACGTTATGCACCGATAGGATTGTTTTTATTGTTTTTGTTTTGTTTTTCATGAAAACTAAGATATCAAGCTAGTCTTAATATGTATATATGTTCTTAGGATCATAACCTTATGCTTTGTAGGTGCTAGGTTCACTTGGAGTTTTATATGAATAAGGCATTCATAGGCTTATAAACTTTGGAAAATATCTGTTAAGCAAAAAATGCAGTCTACTAAACATGATTAGCTTAGTAAGAAAGGTGGTTGGACATGACTAACCTGGTAAGAAAGGTAATTGAACTTGACTAACTTGACAATAAAGGTGGTTGGACATGACTAACTTAGTAAGAAAGGTGGTTCACTGGGATAGGGGGTCACTGCTAGTGGTCCAGTGATTAGATTGAGAAAATCAGCAGAGAGAACTACCCAAATTCTGCATGGTTACTAGATTTATTTTTAGCACATTATGAAATTTTGGATGCACTGTTTTCAAATGCATTAACATGAAATGCATTAACATGAAATGCATTAACATGTGATGTCTCTGTATAAGAGGGCATATTGTATTGTATATTGATGCAAAGCACTAAACGTGTGTTATTCATGTGATTTGGCAGAGGCTTTATCCTCCATCTGTGAGATAGACACTGGTGAGAGGGTTGTACTGAGATGGAGGACTGAGAGGAAGTTACTTATTTGTCTATTCCTTAGGGATTGTTGTGGTAAGAATTATTTTCTTTTTCTGCTGAGTCCTTTCTATCCTTGTTGCTTCCTATCCATTCCTATTTTATTATTTGAAGCATTGCATTCAAGACCATTTAGGCTGATAGTAGTTGTGTCCCTACTGATGACTGTATAGAGCTGCAGATAGCAATAGCCTGGTTGATAATGTGGTCAACAGGAAATTCTGCCTTCATACTAGACTGCGAGAGTAGTAGAAATCAGTACAGTGGACCCTCAGCTAACGATATTAATCCGTTCCTGAAAGCTCATCGTTAGCTGAAATTATCATTAGCTGAATTAATTTTCCCCATAAGAAATAATGAAAATCAAATTAATCTGTGCAAGACACCCCAAAGTATGAAAAACAAATTTTTTTTACCACATGAAATATTAATTTTAATACACACAAACTGACACTTACCTTTATTGAAGATCTGGTGATGATTGATGGAATGGGAGGAGGGGAGAGTGTGGAAGTTGTTAATGTTTAGAAGGGGAATCCCCTTCCATTAGGACTTGAGGTATCAAGTCCTTTTCCGGGGTTACTTCCCTTCTTCTTTTAATGCCACTAGGACCAGCTTGAGAGTCACTGGACCTCTGCCGCACAACATATCTGTCCATAGAGGCCTGTACCTCCCGTTCCTTTATGATTTGTCTAAAATGGTTCACAACATTGTCATTGTAATAGTCACCAGCACGGCTTGCAATAGCTGTGTGAGGGTGATTTTCATCCATAAAGGTTTGCACTTCAAGCCACTTTGCACACATTTCCTTAATCTCTCTCTTCATATCCATAGTAATTCTCACCCTTTTTCCTGCAGGGTTGGCACTAGAAGCTTTCTTGGGGCCCATGGTGACTTACTTTGCGGGTACAATCACTAAAAATACTGTGATAATATGAAATGTTCCGATTGTATGGGTGGGTGCGACCGCACTGGCTGGCTTGTAAACACTGGCACCCACGGGACAACTGAGGCGCGCTCAGGCCACACGTGGATGCGTCTTGAATGAATCGCGTTGGGTGAGTTTTTTAGCGTTAGCCGAGGCAAAAGTTTTGCGTTAAAATGTATCGTTAGCTGGATTTAACGTTAGCTGATGCCATCGTTAGCTGAGGGTCTACTGTACTAGGTTCAGATATATAACAAGTTCCCTTTCTTTGCATATTCCCTTCAATTTTGTTTTTTTCTCCTTTAGTCCTGGCAACCTGCATTTGACCTCTGGGTTCTTTTCTTCTAAAATCTGGAATTCATTACCTGTAAATATAAAAGAAACACTACCTGTTTATAAATTCAAGTCTCTTCTCAAAGTTCACTTACTCACTCAAAACCAAATAAATACTGAATAACTGAACCATATAAATTGTATATCCTAAATGTTACTCACAATTATATCACACAAATGTTAAACCTAACTTTGTTATTTTTTTTTAAATACACTACCTGAATGAACAGCAATGCATGCAACCACATGACCTGTCTTTGTAATACTCATTTGTATTTTATAGTTATCTGTTTACAATAATGTCTTATCACTGATTTCATCATTGCTTAGTTAATCTTAAGTTAATTTTAAACCAGCCCGTAATGCTATGCATATAAGTGGCTTTGGCATGCTGCTCTTACCTGTATTTTTTTGTACCTCTGTATGTATGCTAAAATTTATAAATAAATAAATAAATAAATAAATAAATAAATAAATCTCTCCCAGGGTATACAGTCACATTGTCTTCTAAGCTCTTAGCAGGGGACAAAGATGGCAGCTAAAGACAGATGAACCATAGGAACATTAAGATGTACCTTTTTCAATCTTAGAGTGGCGAGTAAGAGAATATATTAGAGTACAGGCATATGTCGCTGATATGGTGCATGAAGTTCCAGATCACCATCACAACCTTAAATGCCAGTGCATATAAAAGCCTAAAAACGTGTTATCAACTGCGCAATATCACGAGGATTAAAAAAATCCGAAAGTAAAAATAATAAGTAATTGTTCTTATAAAATTGCCAAAAACCATCTTAAGAGCAAGGCAAGCACTGAAAATAATAAACATGATTATAATTGAAAAGTGCTGTATTAGCAAAGCTCTCTAAAAGCTAGTGCTGTATTAACAAGGTGTGCCTGCACATGTGATCAGTCCCTAAAAGTCAGGGCTCAATAAGAGTCAGTGAGAGTAAAAGAGGAACAACCAGAAATTGTGACTCGACCCGTGCAAACACCGCTAGGTGAGTAATACATAAAAGCTTAAACATATCTAAAATTCTTAAGCATATCTTCACACATACATCAGAAGAGAAAAATATTCTACAAGTTAGTCAAATGTTTATACTATTTAAAACTTCATTTTGATGCCTCAAGGCTTTATAGCAGAGATAGTAAACTCCCAGTATAACAAACCTAGATATAATAGACTTAAATTGAATAAAAAGGCACAATACCATGACTGGAACAATACACAAATAACCCACACGAAGGAGAAAGAAAATACAATGTTTCAGTCTGACTTGGACCATTAACTAGTGACTAGTTAATGGTCCAAGTCAGACCGAAACATCATAAGTTTCTTTCTCCTATGTGTATGTTATTTATGTACAAGAGGGCCCCGCTTTACAGTTTTGCTAATGCAGCAGTTTTCAATTATACCAATTCTTCATTTATTCAGATTTCCTACAATAAATATATTCACCACTCACTGTAAGCTAAGGATGAAAATACTTTAAGGTGAGTAATGTGTGTGCTGTACATGAATTTTTTTACGCCTAGCTCTATTGCTCACTTAGTACGTATATGTTAGTGTACACAT